AAAGAAGTGTCATAAATCACAAGGCCTAAGGTCAGTTAGCAGGCTACTATCCTCAGCTATCTTGCCTAACAAATGACACAGCTCAGACAGTTGGTGGTTGTCAAGAATAATGATAGTGTACCGTTATGGCTAAGAGCTTCTATAAGTAGTGTTTTATTTTATTTTATTTTTCTAGTGGCTCTGTATTGCCGAGCAATCTGCTGCCGGCAGTCGCTCAGAGCAGGACAGCCCCGGGCAGGGTGAAGGGCAGCCCCGGGCAGGGTGAAGGGCAGCCCCGGGCAGGGTGAAGGCAGGGTACGAAGCGCTTCTGTGCGGGCTCATCGCACGCCCGCTTTTCGAGCGGCCCGAGCCCACGGTAGGGCCTCGCTTCTGCTCAGACAGGGCAAAACCAGACTACAAATGTACTGTTATTTGCTTAAAAAAATGTACCGAGATGTCTCCCTGTTGGGCCGGGCTGCCTGTCCAGTGTCAGTCAGCCGTCCCGGTCTGGATTTTGCTCTCAGGAGGCGTTTTCACGCACCTGTTCTGCACCCGCTGTCACAGGGGCACAGACCTTCCCCCGACAGAGCCGCACACGCGGTGACGACCCTCCAGCCTCACGCCCTGCTGGGAGCTGGCGGCTCCCCGTGCTTTCAGCCGCAGGACGGCACCGCAGCGGTCCCTCGCGGCATCTGGAGCCTCAGAGCCGGAGGCCGGGGCGAGGGGACCCGGTACCTACCTGCGGCGGCCGCTGTCTCCGCCTCGGGAACTGACGGGGGCAGCCTGCGACGCGCTCCGCCTCCCGGCGCAGCGCGGCGGCAGCGGGCGGTGGATGGGGCCGGTGGGGACGGCGGCCGTGCGGGATCCCGGCGGCACCGCGCTGCCCCGCGGCTTCTGGGCGGCCGTACGCGTGTGGCTGGAGAAGCCGCAGGTGGCCAACAGGCGGCTGAGCGGCGCCGCTGTCCAGGCGGAGGGCACGGTGCCGCTCGGCGGGGAGATAAATACATCCTTCGCCGCCGCGGGGGCAGTCGGGGGCGGCGGCGGGCAGGAGGGGCGAGCGGCGGGGGCCGCGGAGCTGGGCCGGCTCTGGAGGGAGGTGCGGGGCCAGCTGCCTCTGCCGCCGCCCCTCACGGCCTGGGGCGGGCCCGGCGAGCTCCGTGCCGTGCTGAGGACGCTGCTGCCCCGGGGCCGGCCCGCCGCGGCCCCGGCCCGGGAGCTGGCGGTGCAAGGTGAGAGGAGACGGCGCTGAGCACCGGGCCCGGGGCGCAGCGTGTGAGAGGCCGGGGCTGTCGCTGACCTGGCCCCTCAGAGATTGTCTCGCAGATGAGAGAAATGCCGCTTTTTCTCTCCCCTATTTGTGCAAACGAAGATGGTCTTTTGTCCCGATCGTGTGCTTAGGGTTTATTTTTGCCTTTCGTTGTTGCGTTAGGAAGCGCTGAAGTTTCAGCAGCTGGAATACAAATTACAGAGGCCAAAGGCCTGTGCCACTCAGGAGCTCCTGTCACGAGTGAGCTGTCCACGCACAAACGCTGCTCGTGGTGCAGACCTAATGAGGGGCTTGTGAGGAGTGACTAGAGTTTGGAAGTGCAGAACTACTGAAAGGAGTAGGCAGCTATGGCACCAGCCTGGACAAGTGGAAGTGTATCGACTTTCTTAGTGTTTAGTTTTGCTTAAGAAAGAAGCTCAACTTTTTTTTGTTTTGTTTTTGTTTTGCTTTGGGATGTTTTCTTACACTGTATGATGGTAATACGCTGCAATAAATCCTGCTAATATAAAGAAATGTACATAGGGTAGAACTTGACACCGTTTTTAAGATAAATTTTGGAAAAAAAGGTTGATGGGGATTAAATTCTAGTACTAATGTTTTGGAAATGATCAGAATTCCAGAAACAACTCGACTTACAATTCAGAAAGACTGATAGTCATTTATGGGGCACACTTGGGATGTTCTTGAGGCTTTTGATTCTTACCTGATGCCTTCAAAAAATTGATGCCTTCAAAGAAAACATTATATGTTTTGATTTATTTTTTTCTTTTGTTGCTAAGAAAAGATGTTCCTGAGCTGCATCTGTTGAGCTTATCTCTAAGAAAAAGCCTAGGAGATTTTTTTAGAACTAATTTGTTTACAACTAAAAAATATTAGAAGTGGAATTGCTAAGGATGAGATGAGATAGCAAGACATAACATTTTTTCTACTGCTAATTAATTCTTTCTTGTCTAACTCAGAAAATTTTGGAGTCCATTTGAAAATTGATTATGTAGCCAGTATAGTATTTTTAGCAGCAAGAATGTTTGTTGTGACAGTAATTAAAAACATTTTCAAAACTGAGAACTTAATAAGTTATTCTGAAGCAACTGCCCAGCGTAAACAACAGCAAGAAAAGGTTTTTTAGTTTTTAGAGTAAGTGATACTGCACACACACCTGCTTCCCAGGGCTCTGGATTTGCTGTGGGGTATGGAAAAGCAGCAGTCATATAGTAGAAAAATCTTATTGTTTAGTTTTTACTTTATTAAAATAGGTAGGTTTGATGAACATGAATATGCCTGGTAAGCCCTAGATATTTTGGAAACATCATGCAATAGAATGCTAGATTTGGAGAATTCAAATCGTAGTTTCATATATTAGAAACACCAAGAAACAGATCTATTCCTGACATTGTGGTTCTTTCTCTGTTATTATGTCTTGCCTCACTAGTTAGCAGGCAGAAGCTCATTTTGGTGCTAACCAGGGTGGGTTGCTCCATGGAATAATAAACTCTTATTTGCATATCTTTTCAGATTTTTGCAATGCAACTGTGACCTTTCTGCCCTTGGAGGAAAACAGTGAAGGAAAATACCTGGTTAAAAAGTGCAATATTTATCAAATTCAACTTAAACACATAAAAGATGAGGAGTGGTAAGTATGGGAGTGAGAGAGGAAGGAAACAATTATTGCAAGAGTCACACAATGGTTTAGTATTCGTACGTTGGCAATTTATATTTTATAATTTTCTGCTTAATAAATTACAGTAGTGGTGTGGTATGAGTGCATAGTGTTCTCTGAAAAGAAACATCTACAATACCAAGAACAACATAAAACAAACCTGTTTCACCTTTGAATGTAAACATTGACTGTACCTGTGTGTGGTCTAGAAAAAATATGCCTCTTCTGATCACAAGGATGTAGCAGTTTCTGTTGAAAAGGTTCTGTGGGTGTTAGTAAGGGTGAGGGTCAAACCAGAGTTGCTGTAAACCCACTGAGCTTCAGTCACTGAAATGTAGACCAGTTTGGTCCTGGGCATCTGGGGATGTAGGTGTAAAAATATATGAATAAAGTTAGAGATAATGAAATGTGAGTTGTTGCAATGGATATATTTTTCTCCTAAATTGTCCTGTTATTTTTCAGGAATTTCATAAGTTGATTTTCACTGTTTAGTGTTTGGCTGTTGTGTGAAATCAGGTTGCTCATTATATGTGAGTCCTCATTTAATGTGTTAAATGCATCATGGACTCTTATGTACAGTGTTTAAATTGAGAGATAATGAGCTAACAAAATTCAGGGGAAACCTGAATGAATAATAAAGTTCCATTATTCAGTAACTTCATCAGTTTACTTTCCTTTTGTTTGTCTTATTCTAGAGGTTAGAATAATTCTATGGACGTATTCTCCAGTCTAGTTTTATATCTCTGATCTTCTGATTTTCTCCACTTAATCCTTGTTTTCTCTGTCCTTGAGATAGCTGAAGTAATGAAATACTGTATTTATACTGTTTTTTTGTTTGTTTGTTTTTAAGGTCTATATCTGTTGTAGCTCCATTTCCAGAAGATTGGTTTTCAGATGGAATTGTGTACCCAAAACTAGCATGGCTTGGAAATGAACTTTTGTCCAAACTGGCTAAATGGTCTGTGGAACAAAAGCCCAGTGAGTTTAAAAGTACACTCTCACTTGTTTCGGTAGCAAAATACAGCAAGGTTTATCAGGACCTCAAAGAAAAGTACAAAAAGATGGTAAAGGTAAGTTAAGCAGTAATATTATCCTTCCTTTTTATAAAAGAAGCAATTGAATTATAATGTATGTTTTTTGGTTTCATGTTTTGGGGTTTTTTTTTGGTATATATGGAGAATAAAACTGTTTAGTACTTGGAAGAACTTAATTGGAAAAGCAGGATTTAGAGCCAAATTTTCAATAAATATTTGGAGGAGTTAGGCATATTCCAGGATGTATCACTTACAATACAAACGAAGCAGGTCTAGTGGAATAAATAGTCATCCACATTTTAGAAGGTATAAATATAACACCTCCTTCTCAAAAACCTTTTTATACTATCTTAATATGTGTTTGAGTTAGAGGAGCAGCACTGTAATTTTTTTACTTATCCTGAAGAGCAACAGAGCACTGTATGAAGCAATATTTGTGTTCTTGCAAACTTGGCTTTTGCTGCAAACAAAAAAATTGGCAAATGCTTTTATAAAACATCCAGTGAAAATGCTGAAAGGTTTTACTGTTAATATTTGAGTACTTACAGGAAGATACATAGGAGAGGAGAACTATATTTTTGGGTAAGACAGCAATGTGGTCTTCAGTTCTGCAGTAGAATTGCTGGTGTTGAGTATTTAGTCTTTGTTTCAATTACTCAGTTACAAAGTAACACTTGAGAATAATACTTTCACTTTCTGTCTTCCTATTTAAGATTTTGATTCTTCGTGTCCACTGTGCCAGGATAATTCTAGGCCTGTTCCCTTGTGAATAGAAATTTACAAATGTTCATGTTCTTAATCTTGCAGAGGTATAGATAAGATTTTTTTTCTCCTGAGAAAGTGAAAGATCCATGGTCTGTTACAGAACAGATGCAGCTGTTTACTTGTGCCTGCACTGTGTGGAGCCAAAATGTTCTTAGAAACCTTATTGTTTGGTTGAATCAGTCTTTATATTCTCTGGGTATATTTTAATGAGGTTAAAATGCAAAATCTGTGAAGTCCAGAAACTTACTGAAGTGAATAAGTATCCAAATTACTGTGTCTGAGTTTTTTTTAGGTTATTTCAGATACAGAAAATAAATTTTCATCTAGTTTTTCATTCTGTTGTTTCTTGTTTTTTTTTTTTTTTTTCTGAAGGTGTGGCCTGAAGTGACAGATCCTGAGAAGTTTGTTTATGAAGATGTTGCCATTGCCACTTACTTGCTGGTAGGGAACTGCTTTATCTAGTAGTATGCTGTAAGGTTATATTTCCTAATAATAGAACCTCTCTTAAGAAGGTAATTTTAGAGGTAAACAAAAACTTCTTCATGAAGACATAATGAAGATTTGCACTCTTCTGTCACAGGAAATTTGTTATCTACATACACAAGATTTATTTATTTATAGGTGAGAAAGGCAAAGGCACTAATATAGAAGTGATAAGATGGATCAGTTGGAGTTTAGGATTCATTGTTGTATAAATTTTTCTACTACTTGTTCATTATATACTATGAACAAATAAAATCTTAATGGTTTTTCACTGCTGTGCCTTTTCTTGATAAAATTTCAGCTCAAATCCCATCTTCAAGTGTAATAAGGTCAACTGCAGATGCTAGGAGTGCAGATAAATGCTTTGTGCAGTTTTCTTAAACATATAACTACTTAAGATTCTATGAAAACTCTGCTACCTGCAGTTCTTAGAAACTTCAGGTTTTTAAAAGGCAGGCACATAAGTATTTTTGTTTGCCAACCTGGCGGTGGCAAGAGCATGTCTACATTGAACTATACTTGTAGCATCTTTCTTAAATCAGTATTTGTGAATGTTAGCTCATTTACAGTACTCATTCAGGACTAATTTATTTTGATAATTAAATATTTAACCCCTTAGAACCTTAGATAATGGCTTGTGGAAAGAGCTATGTAATAGACTCATCTTTACTATTTTTACCACCATCTTAGTATTCAATGTCGAAAATTAGGAATTTAGTTGTAGCCACAAGAAAATTCTGGAGTGATGGCATTTTTATACATGTGAATGTTGGTTTACAGTGATTATGTTTTGGCTAATTAGCAGCAGTTTTCAGAAAGTTATTAAAGTTATTCAATATATAGTTTATGTAAATAAAAACTTGAAGTATTAACAACCTAACCTGCTTCAAAATGTTCAGGTATCTATATGATGGTGTATGAAACTCATTGTTTGGAAGTGCATTACACAGGTGATTTAGAAAAGGTAGGTCCAGTGTTATTATGGGTTTATGACATCTCCATGTGACCTCATTTTATTCTGCAATCATATTGAGATCACTCACTGACCAGGAGCATGGTCAAGGATGTAGCTGTTGAGTTTGTGTTATGAAAAACTCTACAGGAATTGGAGGACAGGTAGGATTGGTGAATGAGGTAATTAAGGATTTCTGGGATACTGCCTAGAGTGCCACAGTACAATGATAGGTAAACCTAAAAACAATGCATGAGATTAGCAGACTATGTTTGTCTTCAGCTTCTTTCCCTCTAGCAAAATTGATATTCAAAAGTGACAATATTACAAATACTAATTTTCATAGTTAAGTACTCTTCAGGATTTTTGGTAGTCATGGTAAAAAATCAGAGTGCATAATTAGGAATGTATGATCTCTTACTTCTCATTGAAGGAAAAAGAGTTGGAAAGTGGTAAAGGTTAATCCGTGTTCTGCAGGGAAACAGCCACTTATTAATTGTGGATTACATATCTGTGTAAAAGTACCTACTTGTGTACAGATCAGGGACTAGAATTTGTCTAAAAGCTTTGGGGTCCCTTAGCTGGTATAGAATTTGGGACAGTTAACTTGCTAGGTAACACTTGCTTTGTTCAGTAAAAGAGATGTTACTTGTACCAGTATATCACCAAGTGATTACAAAGAATATTTTGAGGTTTATTTTCAGCTCTGCCATCAATGCTTTCTTTAGTACAGTGGATATAAATGCATCTGTGGTGTTACTTGCAGAGTCTGGTGGAGTTTACTTGATACTCCCCTTGCTTTCCACTGTTCTTCCCTTGCACCCATTGTTTTAGCAACTTGCTTTACATTTATTCTCATTCTAGCCCAGAGCTGTAAAGCCCTGATTAATTTCAACTCCCAATGACTCAAAACACAGTGGAGGATGGGCTTAGCACTTAGAAAATTATTGATATTTTTTCAAATTAATTATTTTTCTACTTCATAAACAGTGGTTTTCTGTTTTTTGGGGTTTTTTTTAGTTGTTTTTTTTTCCCCTCTAAAGTTATTTTTACCTCTGAGTACAGTGAATGTTTTCTGTCAAGTCTGCATTTCTAGCTTTCTCCTTTCTTCTCCAATAACCTTTGATGGTTTCTTATAGGGAAACTTGAGAGTGGAAGCCTAATATGTTCTGTTTTCTTGTCTTAGATTCTTTGGGAAGAAGAGAGAAAAGAAAAAGGGTTAACCAAGAAACAGTCATTTGTAGATCTTGGATGTGGAAATGGTTTGCTGGTTCATATTCTAAACAATGAAGGGGTAAACAGAATGCTTTTTAAAATGCTTATTAACAACTAGTGTCAGTATTTGTTATACTTTCCTTTATTCTGGCATGCAAATAGCCAAAATAAATTAATTCATGTTGCTAAAACAGGATTTTGTCACTGTAGTTACTAACTAGAAAATCCTACCAGAGGATTAGAAATCATTCATTTATTTATCTTAATTAGTGTATTTCATTTAAATTCAGTTCTGTTTTTTTCTGAGTTAAACTAAGAAGAAACAGCAAAAGTAATGGAATATTTTACTTATGCAAAAAGCAATATGGAATTTTGACACAGATTCTCTCTTGCAAGATGTTGAACAACAAAGATGTTATCTTGCAAGATTCATGAACTTATTCTTATCCAAACTACTTGTGACATCCTGAAAATATTTTTCTGTATCTTTGAAAGCAATCCTGAGATTTCTTAATTAAAAATGCCTAGCAGCATAATTTACTTTTGGGAGTAAAAATGTGGCAACAGTATAATTCAGTTTCTTGGAACGTAGTTTCTGAAACAGTAATGAAAGAAAAGTGAGACTAAACAAAACCCATTGAAATTGGGTCTGTCTGTTTCAGAAAATTGCATTTTCCACTTTTGGGAGATCATAGGAAAATTTATAGAGGAAATGAGTATCTCTTAGATAAAGAAATGCCATTGCGGGAGTAGGGAAATGTTCCAAGTTCTAGCACAAGTTTTCTATTCTTGTGTCACCAAAAAATTTTGTGTAACATAAGCTGCTGTTTTCCATGTGGATTTTTCATTTAGTCAGTGAATCATGTGCTGACAAACATTGACTGACAAAAAAATAATGTATGATATTTTTATGAGACTTTTTTTAGTAATTGATTTTGCTTAGTTCTGCACAAGGTTCTTGAATTTCAAATACTGCACATTCTTCATTCTTGCTTTAGTTTCCAGTCTATTTCCTCTTCCTTTTAATTCAAGCAGGGGAAAAATTGTTTGGGCTTCAGTAGTTGAACGGCGGTTCTCCACTAAGAACTGCTTAGAGTAGCATTCTGCTCTGAGCCCTGTGGGCACTGCAGAAATACTCACCCTGTGAAAGGTTTTGATATTTTAAAAATAAACCAACCAAAAATCAACACCTCTGCTTTTACATTTGTAGAGATACAGATTTTCAAGAGCAGTCTCAATAGGTGTGCCCAGGTAGAATTTTGAACCAGATATATTCTTAGGGTTTCCTAGTAATTCCCTTCATATTTCAGAGGGAAAGAAGGGAATAAAAGTGTTCAACTTCTGCCCGAAATGGCAAAGCTGGTTTTTGTTACGTGTCTAAATTTTAGCGTGAATTAAGTAATCGAAGTTAAAATGTACATTTACTGAACTTATTTGAAATTTCTGCTAAAAGGAGTACTTAAATTGAATCTTTCTGTTCAAATATTTCAGCATTCAGGCAGAGGAATTGATGTGAGGAGAAGAAAAATATGGGACATGTATGGACCAGAGACGCATTTAGAGGTATTATGCAAATGTATGTCAGTCTTACTGATATGTACATTTATTCATTTGTTTTGATGCAAGTGTAAGGAAGCATACTGGGTTACAGACAGTTATCTAAAGAGACCCATAGGTTTGGTATGATGCTACCCATATGCCTTGGGGGTAAAGTAAGTGGTAAAGGGAATTATGAGAAAAATCTTGTATTGGACCCTTGCATATTTGCAACTAGCTTATTTCTCAGCCAAGAATGATTGGGATGATTTCTTACTGCATGCACAGATACACACACCATGAAACAAGCTTCCTTTTTACTGGAAGATCAATATTAAGCAGTTTTGTTTGCGCCACTAGCACATAAAAGATAATAAAGCCACTCATAATTTTGGATATTTTCTTGAAAGTGATTCTGATCTTCTAGTGCTGTGTTCTGTTCTGGGAGCAAAATTGTTGTTAAACCTCAAAGGAGCCAACCTAAATAATTGCAATAATGGCCTTCAAAAATGAACAGGAAAATGAGTGTGCAAAAGGGAATATTTCAAGTTTCCTGTTAGCATTTTTATGAACAATTTGAGCAAAGGAACATTCAATTTGATTCCAGGCATTCTTAATCTGATACTCATTAAAGCATAGTGCCAATGAGCTGTTGCCCTTTGGAGGTGAGGTATTCCTGGTTTCTTGTTCTGCAGGTCTAAAATTTCTTACTCTGTTCTGTCAAAAGCTGTCAGCTCCCAATATAGTAAAATAATTTTCCACCTGTGGTTATTCTCTAGTAGTGTTGTTTAAAGTTCATTCAACATATCTTTGGATGCTAACACAGTAAATAAGGAAAGAACATCAGTTTTCACAGATGAGAGCTCACAGATTTCATGTTGTGTAGCCTTCTCTTTGCCACCCTGCCATTTTGCGTACAGGTTGCCAAAACTACTGTATTCCTTTACTGCAGTCTGCAAGCAGATCTTACTGAAAAGCTTCAACAAACAACCCAAAACATCAAGCTGTGGTGCTCCTTCGTTCCTCTTCTACTCTATTTAAAGTCACATCTGATCATGCTGAGTAGCATTGTCTCTTTAGCTTTGTGCTACATGTTCCTTTTTTTGCCCTGAAAGAAACAATAAAAATATATGCTGAGGAAAGTGATGATTTATGCTGGAAGGAGTTAGACAATGAACAGGAAGGATGAAATGATTTTGCAAGGCTCCTGTAGCCGTAGCCTGAAGCTAATTTTGTTTTGATCTTTATTTACAACATGAGTTGCAGGGTGTATGTTGCCATCTGTGTGGTTCAGTACAATACTAGCAATGTAAATGGATGTAACAGGTGGCAGTCTGTGTTTCCAAACTGCTGTCAGACATGTGGATACAAATTTGATTGGGGGTGACTGTCAAAATGGGCAGTGTGGCACTGATAACTCGTCTTATGCCTAAATTGAATGGTCAAAACTGAAATGTAAAGTATGAGTAACATGTTTAACCAGCCTTAAGAAAACACTGACCAAAAGCTTGGTGATTTAGCATCCAGTAATCTGCCAAAAAAACCCCAACTTGCTACATTCATTATCTATAAATGTTTATACATATCTAAAAATGAGCTGTAGTATTTAAAGTGAACAATTTTAAGTGAACAATCACCATATTGATCTTTAAGAGGGATTTGGAAAGTAACCAAGATAGTTTGAAATTCCCTAATAAGTGGTTTTGTTTTATTTTATTCTGTAATTCCTGTACAGATACTGCTTTGCATATACATCTGAATTTTAAGCTCTTAAAACATATATTTTCTATATAATAAGAGATTATGGGCATCATTTTCAGAACTTTTTCTAAAGATCTGTGGAAATTCAAATGTAAAACTTTTTTCAAATTTGCCCAATAATTCTTTTAATGTTCATATGCATTTTCAGGGGAGAATATCTAGTCTACTTCCATGGTGTCAATATCTTTCAGTACTTTCTCTGCTGAACTTCGTTCAAAGTGAGAAAACATATGTGAGGCACAATCATTATGGGCACTGTAGAACATTTGAATTCAGCCTGTATGAAGAATTCAACCTGTTGCTTTAATTTGGGCTTTCTTTTGTTTGTTATTGTTTTATTATATATGAACTATAGCATATGAAGAGTGGTGTTCTGTATACTGGGTTTTGATTTGGGCAGCACCTGTGAAGGAGAAAATAACAATGAAGCTGTGTGAGTCCTTTAGGCTGCAAAACAGCAAATTAAGTGCCTTTCTGAAAAACTGAGTTCAGGCATACAAGTCATAGAAGGAGATAGGCAAGAAATCATAATTTAGTGTATAATATTTGTTATATATATTTAAATGCTAGATATCTTAATCAGAGTTGCTGTTCCACTTTTTTTCTGACCCATGTTTTGTGGGTGTTTGTTGCTTAATTACTTCTCTGTGGCTATAAAATCTGCTAATTGAGGAAAACATTGTTGGTGTTTGTGGTGCTCATTCACCTTATATTTGTCATCTGGTATTACTTTATATTATTACTTAGTGGTTTAAATAAAATGCTTTAAAGATACCTGTCATAGGATTCACTTACTGTGTTGTTCTGTTTTTTAGGAAGCTACGATCATTCCAGGTGACAGTCATCTCTTTCCAGATACTGACTGGCTCATAGGAAACCATTCAGATGAGTTAACACCGTGGATACCTGTAATTGCAGCTAGGTATTTTTGCAGAAGAAGGGGAGTGGGATGGAAGGAGTTATAAAAACAGGTAGAAAACAAACAAACCCCTCCATAATTACGTATGTGGGCTTGGTAAAAACTATCAGCTTTGGTTCCACACCTGTTCTTCTTGTAAGATGGGCTAGTTTTGATGGGAGTTGATTATTTTTACAAAATGTTTCTCCTTCTGTGGAGAAGCACAGATGCAGTATTTACTTTCTCATAGAATTCAATGCAGCATTTTACTTTCAAAATTCAAAAGCCAAAAATTTTTTATTCCTTATACCTGAAGCTGTTTGGAAGTTTTTTTTTGTGTTTTTTTTTCTTGTAAATACAAGCATATGGTTCTGCCTTCCCTTGAGCTGTTGTGCTCTTTTCAACCAGCAGCAGTAATTCAGAGTTTTACTTCTGTAAATTAAGTTGGCAAAGTAAGTTGCTACATCAAGTACTTTGTGAAATGGTATTTTTGACTAAACTAATAGTTTGACTGAAAGAGGAAGTTATAAATATTATTGCATGAGGCTCTGTTGCTTAATAAAAAAAATCCATTGTTGCTTTTATCTGATAGGTTGTTTGTTAAATTTTTGTGTTTTCTGAAATAATTTACTGTTCAGCAGTTCATTATCCTTCTTGTAGGTCTTCCTATTCATGTTGCTACTTTGTGCTGCCATGCTGCTTCTTTGATTTCCATGGAAAATACAGCCGAAGACAAAGTAAGAAAACTCAGTACAGAGAATATCTTGATTTTGTTGCTCAAGTGGGATTTGTATGTGGCTTTCATGTGGAAGAAGATTGCCTTAGAATTCCGTCAACAAAAAGGGTAATTTTGGCTTCTGTAGTGCTTTTGTATTTTTTTTTAATTTGCTCTGTTTGAAGCATATGGATGTTTGTTCATTGTTACTGTTGTAAGATAAGACAATAGTCAGCTTCATTACTTGATACAGGATGCTCTGAAAAGAGATTAAAAATACTCATTGTTTTCTTGAGAATTCTACTCTTAATGTTATAGGTACAGTGCTAAAACAGGAAAAAATGAAACGTTTCATGATTTTGTCTTATGTCACTCTAAACGATGGAATACTTCAAAAAACCCTTATTTTTTTGCCTTAATTTTTCTAGCTGCCTGTCTTACTTTTTTTATACTTAATTTTGCTGTATTTCTTGTCCAACGACATTCAAAGTGAAATGTTCTCAGAGTAGGAAGAGATGTCCAGCTTTAAATAATCTGAGGGTCACAAACAATAGTTCTGCTGTGTGATTGTATAGCATGATGGATTATGATTTGTTCACTGGATTTCTTCTGGGGCACCAATATTCAAAGAATGGAATTAAAAACCCTTCAGGTGTTACTGAGCATTGAGTTGATACTGGATTTTATTGTAGGTTCTTTATTGTAGGTACTATAGGTTCTTTATTGAGAAGTCTCCATAAACATGTGGAGGTTGGTGGGCTGGGTGTAAATTCGGGACTCTGATAGTGATTTACCTGTTTCTACTAAAACAGGTCAGCTTTGTTGGGAAAAGCAGGACCTATCCAGCTGGAGAACATGCTCTGGTTGACCAGCAGATCACACAGTTTATTAACAGTCGTCGGACCTGTGCTGTGGCCACATGTGACAGAAGGGTTGGATTTAACCATAAGGATCACTGTGGTGGTCAGTGCAAAGCAGGCTCAGAATCTCCTGAAGATGAGACTGAGACAGCGGGTACAGTTTGGATGCCTGGATTTCAACCGAGAGAAAAAGTAGAACAAATCAGAAATTGTGCTTCCCTCCCTCGGGATTTTGTAGATGAAGTGGTTCTCAACGTGGCGAACTTGCTGTTAAATGCAGCCCCCCAAAAATCATGTTCTGATAAGCAGGGTGGAAATATGAATACCTGGAATCAAGGAGGTGAGGTTATCTTTCCTTTATGCTATCTTTAGCTGATAGAACATGTCTTTTCCAGCAAATTTACATGTTTGTGAATAGATTTTTAGAAACACTGAGAACAATACAGTTGCAATCAAAGATGCTTTTTTTCCCACTATGTTTTATTGCACATAAATACATAAATATAAATACACAGAAGAATATTTTGAACTTGGTGTGAGATTTTTTCCTGATTTACACTTAAATACTATTATAGAATCCATTTTTATTAAACCAAACCCAACTAAACCCACAACTCTACCTTATCTGGGAAGAGTATTGTGGTTTAGAATATTAACAGAATAATTAGCTATAAGTCTGTAAGAGTTGGTAAGAAGTGCTTTGAAGTGGCATTAGGTTACAACATGATTAGGAATTTTTAGTTTTGTTTTAGGAACAAAAAGAATGTTAAGTTGCTGTTAATTGCATAAGCAGTCAGTTCTCACTACTACAATCTTTCAATTTTCTTCCATCTGTTCTCTTTACTCACTGTAGTTTGTTGTATGTTACTGACTTCTAACTACATGCTTATAAACAGTGCTTATTGCAATGAGGATTACATGCTACTATAAAAACAGAGCAAGTAAAAAGTGTGTCTTACTGTGGAAATTCTGACCTGAGTCCTGTAAAATGAAAGCTGTTGTTTTACAGACAATATGCATATCAAATATGTACCATACATCATGTTGTGAGAAAAAAAGTTGCTGTCATACTGGTAGATAATTCTGACATTCTGCCCATAATCATTACCTTATATAGAAGTTGAGTTAAGGCTTTATATACAAAAGTTTTTAATAATTCTGCCATTTTTTATTGCAGAAAGCCTTTCCTTGAGAGAAGTGGCAGAACATTTGAATAAAGAGACTTTAAAAAAGCTGAAAAGTGAATATGGAGGCCTGCAAACACTACTCAAGAACAATCATCAAGTATTTGAAGGTAAAGGAGTCTTGAGTTTCTTCCTTAATAATTTATTCTATTTCCTTTATATGCAGTTAAACTTAACTGAAGAATTACTATGGTGGTGTTTTTTTAACTGCTTTTTGTATTTTTGTGGAAAGCTGAATATTCTTTATGTGCCCATTGCTTCAAGATATTGTTAGTAAAGTTCTTACGAATGAGATTGGTGAGGCATCTATCAGCAAAATGTTCCGCACTGACTGTATCTGAAAAGACAAACCTTTTGTTCAAGTGGCTAATTTGATGCTATTCTTTGATCTTTTATTTTTGTTTCTTCCTATGAAGTACTGATGATTTTGAGGCTGTCAAATACAGAGCAATTTTACTAAAGCATTTAACTGAGGCTTAGTCTGACCATACCAAGCCCCAAAGTATAAATGCAGTCATGAAACAAAATTAGCCTCTTTAAGAACCTATAATTGTGAAGCTTGACGTGTTTATGTAGCTTGTGGTACCTTGCGTTTTTGCAGCTTTTGGTAGTGTGGCAGAAAGAACTCAGTAGCAGGTTTCTGTGGCTGGCTGGGTTTGTTAATAGCAGTTTTTTGGGTTTAGGCTTCTTTTCCCTGTTGTACTGTGTGGTGACAGTGTGCTTTGTGTAATTGCTTTAGAGCTTTTTTGTCAGTGTGAAGTTTTGCAAAACTAAAATGTAGCTTTGCAGTAATAGGAGATCTTCAGGGTTTTATCAGTATTAAAGCTGCTTCCAGTTTTGAAGTGTGCTATGTCCTAACAGTTCTATGTGTCCTGTAAAATACTGATCAACTAATCCATGTCAAGTAATCCTGAGTATGCAATGTTTGTTGCCAGTGCTTAACTTAAGCAAGTTTAGCATCCACTAAAGATTTCTGTACACTTGGCTTACAAAATCCTCCTGAATTATGATCCATTAAAAAGAGTTGGTCTCATGGAGTTTATTATGTGTCTGAATTTGGTTTGCTATCATTAGGAACAGGTGAAATCAGTTTTGCAACGTGTTACATTGTAAATGGAATGAGCATTTTAAATTGGCTCAGAGGCTGTGTGCACATTACCTGCAAAGAAAGGTCTGACTTAATCTGAGTTAGCTCAGTAGTTTACGTCACATAGATACTCCCCAGGGCCTGGGGAGAGACCATGTAATTCCTCCCTTAGTAGATGTCACCATAGCAAGAAACTTCTGGAGGTGTCCAAGGACATTGCTCCTGCCCATGAGGACAGAGAAGAACATGGTTACAGCTCTTTTGTTATCTTTACTGAATTTAAAACATGGAAATGGATGGATTTGCAAACACACACCAAACAAAAAGTGGGTCTTAGAATAACTGATTGGTGACAGTTTCTATACATTAGGTATCTTATCCAATACAAGACTGAGTTTCTAGGGAAAAATTATGCTTGATCATAAATAGCTGCTAATTTTTCTTTGTCATTTGTGAGGGATTTTAATGCTCAGCTGAAATTGCTTCTTGATTGGCCTAGTATGAGTTCAGATCTGCGTATCACAAAGAAACCTGGAGAAATTAATTCATCCAGTGCAGACTGTGTGATGCTCAGCCTTCACTGGACTTGTTACTTTTTGAATAGCAATTATCAGAGTGCAGAATGGTATTGGTTAACTATCCCAAGCTACGAGAGTCTGGTGCAGAAGGTGTGATTGAAGGAGAATATGAAAATAGAGCATAGCAACTTAAAAGTGGCAGATTCTTCCCTCTTAATTTTCACTCTTGTTTGTCATCTTTTTTCTTCCTCTCTGGCTAACTTCCTTTCATCTATTTTGTTTACTTGTTTAAGGAGTTGACAGAGAATCCAAAGTGTGTGCATGTGCAGTTTATGGTCCTACCACAGCAAATGAATTAAAAAAGCCCAAAGTGCTGAATCCTTATAAACCAGTGATAGTTCAGAGTTGGTTCACATGAAGGATTAGACATGTCATCTTCTCCATGCAGTGCATTTTTGGGTCAGTGAATGACCCTTGTGAAAGACACTTGCTGGTAATCACATTTTAAATGTGGAATCATAAAGATGCAAACATGAGAAGAATTATAGTTCTTGAAGTTGAAAATTCTTCAGTTAGAATTTGCAATCTAAGTTCAGATGATTTTAATCTAAGTGATCCCAACTGCTATATTTAAAATTAACTAAAAAACTTCTACAAAGATCATGCAAAGGTGCCTCAAACTATTCTGCATCCCAGTAAAACATCTCTCAGGGAAATCAATCAAGTCTTCTATGTACTGTGTCTGCATTGTCTTGGTTTGTTGTGTACGTCTTTCTGTTTCTGTACAAATTGCTCATCTGGTTTTGCCTGAGTGATCCATTTGTAGAATGTTTTTTATTCACAGAATGTCACTGCAGTTTTTTCCACTATAATTGCCATGGCTGTCTATTAACAGCTGCATTTTTGTTTATTTTTAAATCATAGTTCAAAATGGGAGAGTTCATATTCGTGACTGGAGAAAAGAGAAACCACCAAGTAAAACTAAACCTGAAGTGAAACGGCGCCTTTCAGCTGAAGCATTTAAAACACGCCTCTGTTGGTTTTACATTCATCATCCTGATGGTTGTTCTTTACCTTCTGAAGCTTGCCCATATGCCCATGGGACTGAGGAGCTAAGGCAGTCTCAGACAATTAAAAAGAAAAAGCATATACAGTAATAAAATGTTGCAACTTGTGTTTAGGCTTATGTACGTTACAGAATCTATGATTGACTTTGGTACTGCCTAGTGCATGAACATCTGTACAATATGGAGGGATTTTCTTCATTTCTGTGCATGTTATTTTGCACTTGGTTTACAAGTTCTCTTGTATTTCTAATTCTTTATTTTTTTATTAACAGGGAATAAGTACAGTAAAGTACATATATATTTTTGGATTTGTCATGGCTTGTCTAGCATGCATTTGTATAAGTCGAAAAATTTAAAAATTGATTTCTTGGGAAACTCCTCATGATTCTTAATCGGTTCAAAAGTACATGATACAGCATTTTCAAACCCTCAAAATTATCCTGTTTTGTTCCACATTTACAAGGAGTGTTAAGGAAACTTCTCTGTCCAACCATCCAGGTGCTGCTGTGGTAGCCACACCCACAGCACCTGAGCTGGGACTGAAGCTCCTTCACAGCAGGCAGCTCCAGTGAGCTCGTGGTTGCCCGGCTTGACTCTCTACACTTCCCACACTCACACAGTCAGACAAGGTTCCTTTACTCCCTGACCCCAGGAGTCCCAGAGCTCAGTCTCACATGTCTCAATCCTTAAAATAATTTAAACTTTGTGGTTTTGGTGCAACAACAAAATAGCAGCTCAAGTTGCTGCCTCTGATGAGGGACCCTGAACAAAAGAACTCCTGGGCTTTTTTACCCTCACAGGGTACACAAAGTCTGGGAGTCCTCAGCTCCTGTCTCATCTCTAAGTGTCTGGTGGCCACGGGTCCCCAGGCCCTTTCCTATTCGAAGGGTTGCGTTTCTTGGCCTCTTGCCTGGGGTTCCCACCACCCCGAGCTCAACCTGCTGCTCACACCGCTGCTGCTCACCTTGCAACCTGTGCTGAATGTGTTCTTCAGCAGGAGGATTTATGGTTTCTTATAACTCATAGTGGCTCTTGGAAGTCAGAGAGATTTCACTCTTTCCTGCCTTCATGTTGCTGTGCAATAATACAATAGAATACCCTTCCTAGTCCTTTCCTTGATTATTTTATTGATTCAAAGTAATTGGTTTGCAAGAACAACTTTCTGGGAAATTCAGATGTATGTGTAGGTTTTTAGGAGTTTGTAGGTCACACTGTCATAGATTCATAGTTAGAATGAGTTTCATTGGAAACAACCTTAAAGATCATCTGGTTCCAACTCCCCTGCCATGGGCACGGCCATCTTTCACTAGATCAGATTCCTTGAATCCTCATCCAATCTGGCCTTTCCTTATTTTCAAAGTAAGAAGTAAAAGTAGAAAATGTGTTTAATAATATTGGGATAGTGGGGGTTCTGTGTATCAGCTTACAAAGGAACATTTAGCACCTTGAGCAAGTTGTGATTTTCTTTGCTAGACTATTATTTTCTTGAAAAGGTTTCATTTTTAAATGCACATCCTAAGAAGAATAATAAAGCTGATGAAGGGTCTAAAGAACATGTTCTGTGAGGAGCAGCTTGGGGAACTGAGGCTTTTTAGCCTGGTGGAAAGGAAGCTCAGAGGGCTCTTATTACTCTCTACAGCCTGAAATGAGGTTGTATCCAGGTGGGGATCAGTCTCTTCTCCCATGTAACAAGTGACAGGTTAAAAGAAAATGGCTTCAAGTTGCACCAGGGGAAGTTTAGATTGGATATTAGGAAAAACATCTTCACCAAAAGAGTTGCCAAGCATTGCAGCAGGCTGTCCAGGGAAAGGGTGAAATCACTCCACTATACCTGGAGGTGTTTAAAAGACACGTAGGTGTGGCATTTAGGAACTGTGCTCAACTTGGCAGTGCTGGGTAAATGGTTGGACTTGATGACCTTAAAGATCTTTCCCAATCAAACCAATTCTATGATTCACTCAGCTTACCAGTGAACCTAATTATTACTCAGTGACAGTCATTGAACTGGTGTCATATTTCATACCTGTTAAGTACTTGTAAAGTACTGTATGTGCTGTACAAGCTTTGTGACAAGGACTTGTGTTCTGGCCCAGTTTGTACATTGATAGTGTGGAAACTGCTCTGATTTACTGAAGCAAGACTTTGATTGCAAATCCTACTGAATAAAGGGCAAGATTAAAATTACAGAAAAAAGTTACTAAAGAAGAAATGCGGAGGTGGGAGCAATGGCACAGAAAGTGAGTGCAGGTGAGATCTAGGGGTAAGAGTGAATAAGCCATGTGAGAACTCTGTGAGAGCTCAGGGAATCTGAAGAAGAAAGGAAGGAAATAATTGAATACAAAACAGAGGGAAAAATGAAAGATGACACTGGAAGCACTTCAAAACAGTTCCATGCACCCTAACTTCAAGCAACAGGGTGCAGTCCATTGCGTGAAGATGCATATTCTCCTTTCTTGCTTTGCATTTTTATTCCTTTGCATTTTTCTTCTGATCTTGAAAGAATCAGCACTTGCTAGATCACAGTGACCCTGATAATTGCAGCAACATCTTGCTCATGGATCATGTACCACGTTTCCAATATGCCAGGTAGTACAGGTACCTGGCCTATCACTGGCAGGAGCTGTTGTGGGCTCTGAGCCTTTCCTGTAGCTCTGGTTTGCAGTGTTGTGTTTGGTATCACATCCTGAGTTCAGCTCTAATCAGCACTGTGTTACAGACAGTACAGAATTTGTGTATTTCAGAAAAAAAAAATACCCTGAGGTAAATTACCTACTAAGGGGAATGTTGGATATTCAGTGAAGGTGATTGGACTAAGGGAAAGAATAGAACAAGCCAGGAAAACTGCAGCCCCCATGAAACAGAAAGGGAACACAGCTGATGGAGTAGTTACTGTTGCAAGAATCAGAAAAACATTTTGCTTATCAAGAGAGCAAGAGTTGAGAAAAGAGTTGAGAAATTGCATGAACCTGAACGTAATCAAGGGATGATGTTGCCTGAGTTAGCCTTTGGCTATGTGCAGAGTAAGAAGAATTCCTCAAGACGTTTATTTATTGTGGTAAACATGCTGGTATGTTTGTTGAGGAGGAGGCCCCTGTAAAATTAAGTTCATGCTGTCTCCAGATGGAGATTATTTCCAAATGGTGTGAAGAGGAAAAACAGACTTTCAGTTATTTTCCAGTCGTTGGTGTCTACACTGATAATTCACCTTTGGGTAGGATGTGTTTACTTGAAAAGGGTGATTTCCTGAGTTTGCCTGTGGAGCCTTTTAGGTGGGCTTTGAGGAAGTCAAGGTTAAGAAACAGGAAGAAGGTTGGTTTTGAGGGGTTTTTTTTCTTCTTTACACTAAAAGGGGAATGAAATACAAGCTTGCCTCATTGAAATTGAAAATACACACATGATAAGACCAGTGAATTGGTTTTAAAGTTACTTTTTTTTTTTATTATCTGTGCAATGCTATGATAAGTAGAATAGCTGCTGTTGCTACAGCACAGTGCCTCCTCTGTATGGGCTTTGTTTCCGAACTCACCAGCATGCAACTCTGTCACAGATGTGTGAGGGCTCTTCCCCTCCACGTGTGGCATCCCTGCAGGTGGTGAGCCAGCCAGCAAATCTGGAATTACAGAAACTTCCCTGTTGTTTGCAGAAGTGGTAAGAGAACATTTTTTGCATCCAAATGCCGACCTTATATAATTCCACATTTGTATGTGAAAGTAACTGCTGAAGGCATAAAATGGCTCTGTTTTATGTAAATTCTCTATCTTGTTGCTTCCTGTGTGATCCACAGCCTTAAAATGGCATTAATCCAGCTTTGGCAGTGGATGAAATACTATGTGGAGTAAGAACCAGCTCAACTCCATAAAAAAGCTCTTGATCCGCAAAGAATACAAACATAAAGTCTCAATTTTTCACGTGATGCTCCTTAGTTTTTTACCATCACTTCCCATTAGTTAATTCAGCTTTATTTGAAGCCTATTTTATAGAGGCTAAATACTTACAGTATAGATATCTCATGCGAGTGAGAGTATAAAGAGAAGTTAGATGTCAAACTGCAATCAAAAATTCTGAGATTTAGAGATTGTCTTTACCTCTGTAGATTAGCTGCAGTTTCATTAAGCCTGAAGAAATATTCTAAATTAAATAACAAAGAAATATGTGTTTGTCTTTACCTTTAAGCATCAGTAAAGGACTGAATTTATTTTCTCATCCCTAACCTGACAGCAAATTCCAGGACTATATTGTTACTTGTGGAATATATATGTATAGCTTCAGAACAGTTGATTTTTTAAATACATTTCAAAGCAGAAAATTTTCTCTGTGTATTATTTGGATTGTCTGTTTACAATATTACTGTCTCTGTGTATTATTTGGATTGTCTGTTTACAATATTACTGTCAAAACTTCAATTATTAGCCTAGATTTAGAGCAATTCCTAGAGGAACTCTTACAGCTTGCTAACATTAAATACAAGTTTCTGGCTATGCTTTGTAATAAAATTAGGCTGCTTCTTACAGGTTTTGGGGCTTGTTTGTTCAAGTTTTCAAGTTTTAAATGCTAGTTTGAATAGACTGTACTCGTTGAACTTCCTGAGGTTCGCACACGCTCAACTCTCAAGCCTGGTAAGGTACATCCCCCTTAACTCTTTATCTTTGAAGATCTTACCATATTTTTATGAGCTGGAATCTAGCTTTGTATAAAATAGGCAAGAGTGAGCAGTCAATAGCCTTCCTTAGGACATAGTATTGGTAGATATTTGAGAATCAGCAGAGATGAAATATTCTAAAATATGCAATAATCCTTCCAAGTGACAGCTAAAACAAATAATGAGGCAGGTATCCACTAAAATCTCTATAAACATTTGCCATCAATTGATGTCAGACAATGTTTTGTTATTGCTGATTACTTCTGTTCATATCACTGAAAGTGTACTTTTGTACAAAAATTGCAGTTAATTGGGAGGTCACACAGAACATAATGCCAACATTGCCACAAGGAATAGTTTTCACAATGAAGATTTTCTTCTGTTGTGTGGAACTGTGAATAGGATCTTACGGTTTTTCTCTGAGGCATTGGCACGTTTCTCTTGTGGGAGCCTGGTGCAGCAGTGCTGTGTTCACATGGCAATGGTTTCGTGGTGGGCTTTGCGTGCTGGGAGCTGGATTCAGTGACTGTTACTGAAACCTGAGCACACGTGCTAGTGCTCATCTACCATCTCATAAACTGCTGTAAGCCAGTTCTAATGGGGGGCTATGACAATAGTCAATGAAAACTGCTTAGCAATTGCAACACAGCTCCTCTCTTCCCCCTGCAA